GAAATCTTGAACGCCATTGTGGACTGCGCTCAATCACTATGTCCACCCACCCGCCACCGAACACAGCCCTGGATATCCGGCGAATGTCTCGACCTGGTGAACGAACGGAAACGAGTCAAGTTGGTCGACTACAATCGATATCGGCAGCTTAATCGGAAGGTTCGCAAACGACTGAAAGAAGAGCGCGAGGCACATTGGAACCAAGTGGCAGCTGACTTTGAAGAAGCCGCCCCGAAGCACGAATACACACGCTCCACCGAACTCTTAGAAGACTGAGCGGAAAAGCCAAATCGACCAATGATAATATTCGAAACGCCGACGGGACTTTCGTACGATCATCCACCGAGCGTCTGAAGCGCTGGAGAGAATTTTTCGAGAAACTCTACAACCACGACCAGCCAGCTGGATCAACCGCGGACCCATCACGCATTGAACCGCCAGAGATTGCCATGCCCGACGCCGAACCGACTATCAATGAGGTAAAGATTGCCGTCGAACCTTGAAGAATGGAAAGGTGCCAGGCGTAGACCAGATCACCGCTGAAGCAATCAAAGCTGGAGGAGACATCCTGCTTCATCGTATCCACTTGCTTCTGCGGGCCATCTGGCAAACTGAACAGGTACCACTCGCGTGGAAGAAGGCCATTGTGGTGCCCGTACACAAGAAGGGCGACAGTCGCGAATGCAAGAACTATCGTGGAATTAGCCTACTGTCCATCGTTGGCAAAGTTTTCACAAAGGTCATCCAGTCGAGACTTCAGAAGTACCGCGAGCAAACCTACCAAGAAGAGCAAGCGGGTTTTCGACCACACCGCAGCTGCTTTGACCAGATTTTCGTCCTCAGGCAATTGATGGAAGAACGAATACGATGTGGCAAGCGAACGGTCATTGTCTCCATCGACTTTCGATCGGCATTTGATTGCATCCACTGGGCAGCGCTGTGGAAAGCGCTGGAGGCCGAATTCGTTCCACGGAAAGTGATCAGTCTCCTCCGACAGAGCTACAGCGGATCATCGAGCCAAGTACGAATACGAAACGAGATGTCTGAAGAATTTGCCATCCGAACTGGAGCTCGGCAGGGGAATGTTGCCTCATCATCGCTTTTCAACATCGTGGTCGACGCCATCATGAGGAAGACCTTCAAAGACAGGCATGGTGTCCAATTCGAAGTGAGTGACTCTGCGACAGACTTGATGTTTGCCGATGATAGCGCTGTGCTCGCCGACGACGATGCCGAGACCACAGATATTCTCTATGATATCGCCCGCATCGCCCAGTTGTTTGGACTATAGATCAACACAGAAAACACAAGTACTGACGACAGATCACCGGCCACTGGCAATCTCAATGGCGTCCAAATCGAACAAGTCCAAGAATTCAAGTATCTTGGATCGCTGGTTAAGAAAGTGGCATCCGCAACAGAGATCCATAGCAGGATTGGGCAAGCAGCCGCAGCATTCGCCTCACTCAAGTGGTGCTTGTGGAAAAGAATCAACATCTACACAAAGACCAAAATTCGACTCTTCCGAACCCTGATCCTGCCGATCCTTCTCTATGGATCAGAAACGTGGACTCTACTCAGAACAGAGTTGATAAGTTAGATGTTTTTCAAATGCGATGCCTATGTCAGATCCTGCACATCTCACTCCGCGATCACCTTCGAAACGAAGTCATTCGTAATCGCTGCGAACGTCAACCGACGATCGAAGAACTGATCCAGAAGCGGCGAATGCGATGGTTTGGCCACGTATGCAGAATGAACGGCAGCCGTTTACCACACAGACTCCTCTGGAAGACACGACCTGCACAGTGGAAGGTCCAACGAACGGCGCCAAAGAAAACGTGGATTAAACAGGTCGAAGAGGATCTAAAAATCGGTCGAAGAGGATAAAAAAAATCGGCGACTCCAGCTAGACGAGGCCAGAAACCTGGCCACAGACCGCCAAGCATGGAAACGACTGCTAAACGAAATCCGAAACCCATTGGCACCCACAGCAGCATACCGGCTTCGTGGACAACCTCGACCAAATGCCAGCTAGGAATCAAAGAAGAAGAAGAAGAAAGATATGGGTTTTAGCAGTTTTATGCACTCATGCATTGTTTATGGTAGTGTATGGCATCAATAGACCTACAATTTTCACAGATAACAATCAAAAGACTAAGCAAGTTTTTATTTAAGAAATCTAATTGCCACATTAAAATATGGTTTTTTCGTTGCTGTCTTTAGACAACCAGTTCAGTACATTCCGTTTGTAATAGAATTAATTGGTCTATCCATCTCAAACTCAATTCATCTAGCTGTAGTGATAAATTTCGCTACCCACTGTGAAATGATAATTTTTTATTGTAAAGCAATAAGAACTAGAATGGAACAGAAATCATTAGCGACGATTGAAGCTATGAATGTAGAAATATAATAAAGCTAACTTAGGTTAGATTCTTTTTCCTTACTACTAAAGATCTTCTGTCATTGTAGCAAATATTAGATATACGAATGTAATAGACCAACTAAATAATTTAGCATAAAAAATGAAATCAATATTAATTATCTTTTTTCTTGAACGTGTTGTCTTAGGTATGTAAATTTTCTCCATTTTTCATCGTTGTTGTACTAAAGCATTCAATCTTCAATACAAAAGTTCTTCGTCCTTGGTTAAAACTGACTGAGTTAGTCGGAGCGATTATCTCAAGAATGTCTTCTGTCGTCTTAAGAGGAGTTTTAACCCTTTACCTACCACCATTGATGTATAAAAGTTGACGGAAACTAACTAGTAGAATAAAGCAATGAGTAGTACAATATGTCAATTTCAAGATTGAATCAAATCAAAGTTGCACCAATGTTGAACAATACGATGGGTCATCGATGACCCATTGGTAGCACACAACATGAAAAAACTACAAAAACAAAAAAACGTACTTTTACACTTAGGTTGTTATTTTATAGCAAACATATTTTTATTAGCAATTATATTGAGTATTCGTACAACTAAATTTATACACAGTACAATTATACAATTAAATTTATGTTTTCTGGATTATTCTTTAGTGTAAAAAGCTACAAAACAGTTATTTTGTGGTTGAATACATAAATGTAGTTCACATTTAGAACATGTCCATTGCGTTTTCAACCCGCATTTTTTATATTTACAACGTAATCTTGATTTTACAAATTTTGGTCAACGTTCATTACCATCATATCGTGATATACGCGGTATAGTTCTAGTTGATTCTAGTTTTTTTCTATTTGATTTAGATCGATTATTTTCGTCAGTATCTGAGCCTGAATGTTGACGCTTTTGTATAGGTACTAATGCTAGTCGTTGTAAAGCTACTGATCCTTTTAATAAAGTACGGGCTATTTCTGTTTTAAATTCACACAATCGGGAATTTTCCCAATTCGCATTTTGTTTACCAAGATGAATAGCCAAAAGTCAAGAATTTATTACCATTAAATCAAACAATCTCCATGCTATACGTATATACCACTTTTTACTTCTAAATGGAATAGGATGTAATGCACATAACATGTCCACCTTGTTTACACCTCCCATATGCCCGTTGTAAATATCAATAATTTTTGGTGCCATAACAGAAACTTTTATTTGGTTCTTCTTATCCCAACATAATAATGAAACCATTGGATCGATTGAAACAAATTTGAACCCAATACAATACGCTTAGCATCCTTCCAAGCTACTATAACACATTGTCCATCAGCTGTTACTTGGTAATCATAATAACCACGTGGCTGTATTTTGAAATATTTGTCTGATTCTATAGGACAATTTTTTACTCGATTCGAACGTAAGGTACATGTTATACTATATTGAAGTTGCGTCATTTTTTGTATTAATGGTACAGATGCAAAGTAATTATTTACGAAAAGATGCGTACCTTTTTTTACACCATCCATAAGATCTAATACTACCATTCCAGATAAACCGTACAATTTGGTATCATCACAACGTTTTTTATTTTGATTGTTATTTGTAGTAGCTTTTGTTATTGATCTAGTTGCTTTGAAGAGGATGCTTTTGGAAGAACAGCTGGATGCGAAACCGATTTTGCTCCACCACAATACAGTACTAATTTTTAAACAAAACCAGAAACACCACAACGAACCCAAAATTTGAATCCTCGCTTTGTTGGTTTGTTTGGCATATACTGACGTAATGACTTAGGAGTTGTTTGTTCCTTTATAGCCAACCATTTGTTCATCAGGTGATATGTTTTTTTCTTGTTCTACTATACATGAGCAATGTTTATTGAATAAATCTATTAATGGTTGAATTTATTGACTTTTGATGAATTGAGAACATTATCGTTGAAACGTAATGTACGCAACAATTCTGAAATTCTGTTACGAGCTATATTAGTCGTAATTAATGCTTGTTGATATAGTTGTGACCAATAGTCTGATTTTGATGATAAACGTACGGCGGATGCGTAAAAAAGAAATCCAAGTAATTGAAAAAACTCACGTTCTGTTATTGGTTCTTGTTTTAGATTTATTTGTGTTCGGTAAAGATTTGACTGGTCGACGATATATGTTACAATACTGGGTGATAAAAACAAACGAAAATAGTCGACTGGTGATGTCAATGTAGCTGAAGAAATGTTTTTGTTTAAACTAAATTGACCATCAGATGTTGATAAATTAGGTTCAATATTTCATTTATTCCACTTCAAATTATTCAATTTCGGTTCATCCTTTTCTTCCTCATTATCACTATTCCAGCTATCATCGCTTAATTCCTCAGAATTAGATTATATTTAGTAATTTTACAGCCGCCTTCTAAGTTACTAGAGACTCAGACAGAATTCATTTCTGAAAGAATCAAAGAAGATACCACGACCGGTTTCGACCTTTCTCAAGGGTCTCGTCAGGTGGTTTCCGTCGA